GTCACCCCACCCTTGACCCCCCCCAACGCGACCTCGGGGGGGGGGGACAAATTCAGGCTGGGCAAAGCTTGAATCCGCTTCGAAGGTGCACAGGGAAAAAAAAAACCGACTGCGATCCGGTAGCAGCTTTTCCAGCCCGCCATGGCCGACTCTGATGGCGAGTTTGTCGCCGACGACATGTCGGACGATGAGCTTGTCGATCACCAAGTCACCGACGACGAGGGCCCGTCAGCTCGCAGCAAGTCTTCTCGACCGAAGCGAAAGCAGAAGCGAAACGGCGAACAGGCTTGGGAAAAGTCGAAAAGATCGTGGGAAACGAACTTGCCCGAGGAGGATCAGGATGGCATCCTCAACCTAACAGTGCTGGAGGCGGAGAAGCGCCGGCGGCTGATGCGCGATACGACGCCTCTCCAGCGAGGTATCATACGGCACATGATGTTGGTGCTCGACATGTCATTTGCCATGGCGGAGAAGGATTTGCTCCCCACGCGGTACAGGCTGACAATCAGCTACGCGCTCGCGTTTGTCAGGGAGTACTTTGAGCAGAATCCCATTTCGCAGCTGGGCATCATTGGCATGAGGGACGGCGTCGCGGTTAGAATAAGCGACCTGAGTGGGAATCCCGCAGAGCACATTGAACGCTTAAAGGCAGTCGAGGGGCAGGATCCCCAGGGAAACCCTAGTTTGCAGAATGCGCTGGAGATGTGTCGCGGTGCGCTCTTGTGAGTTCCCTTGGCAGCAACGTCCATGGGGGAAGAGAGGAAGGGGTCGTGGGTTGATGCCATGCTGACTCTGTCTGGTTACAGTCACACGCCTTCGCATGGAACTCGGGAAGTCCTCATCATTTACGGCGCATTGTTGTCGAGCGATCCTGGAGATATTCACGAAACCATTGCCAACCTCGTCACAGACAAGATTCGCGTTTCAATCGTCGGCCTCTCGGCCCAAGTCGCCATCTGTGCAGACTTGTGCTCCAGGACGAATGCAGGGGATGACTCCCAGTACAATATTGCCATGGACGAAGTTCACTTCAGAGACTTGTTCCTTGCTAGCACCACGCCACCCGTGACAAGGACGGCGGAACAAAGCACGGCGAGCTTGCTGATGATGGGATTTCCGTCGCGGACGCTCGCACCAGGCGGAGCCATTAGCTTTTGCGCCTGCCACAGCAAGCCTCTCAGGGAGGGGTACAATTGTACGAGGTGTTCGGCCCGTGTCTGCCGATTGCCTGCTGAATGCCCAGCCTGTGGGCTCACGCTGATTCTATCCACGCACTTGGCTCGGTCTTATCACCATCTCTTCCCTCTACGGAACTGGGTCGAGGTGTCGTGGACAGAGGCTACAAGATCAACCGCCTGCTTCTCATGTCTGTGTCCCTTTCCCGAACCGCCAAAGGACAAGGTCGACGGGGTAGAGAAGTCCAAAGACGACACCCGCCATCTAAAAGCTAAAGGGGTCAGCGAGAGCGGGAGGTATGCCTGCGAAGTATGCGGCAACCACTTTTGCATCGACTGCGACGTCTTTGCGCATCAAGTCATTCACAATTGTCCGGGATGCCAGAGCATCGTCCACCATGACGTCTCTGCGACAGTCAACGGCAACGGTTACAGTCAACAGACAAACGGGGCGATGGAGGTGGACACGTAGGCAGATCGACCCTTCACTCGTGGGAATCCCCGGGGGGTAGGAGAGAGTTTTTTATTTTTTATTTTATTTTTGTATTCACAACAGCATGGGTTACCAAGCGATACAAATTCCGGCGTGTGGTACAACAGAGGAGGGTAGGGGAAGGTAAAGAAGGATCTTTGGAAACACGCTGACGACGGATGACTTTGGTATTCACTCAAAAGGATGGCGCACCTCGGGATTGTATATTGTATACTTTTGGTCATTTCCACTTTTATTTTTTTAATGAAATGGACTATGGAGGTTTCCTTTTTCCTCGAATAGCGGCTGATAGAACCGCAGGCAGACACGTAAAGTGTGAGTAGATTCAACCAAGGCGACAGACATGTTCGTCGTAGGCTCATTCCATGCATGCGTGATTAATAAGACGATGACTCCTCCCGACAAAAAAAAAAGGCGAAAAAGGCAAAAGTAAAGGAACCAATATTAAATGTCCAACCGTGAGCCCATACGACAGAGGAAATGCTTGCCATTGTTCTGTCCCACTTTTCTCTCCAACTTCCCCAACTTAAAGGTTTCCTCTTTCAGCCTGCTCACGCTCAATCGCCTCAAACAGACTCTTGAAGTTGCCAGCGCCAAAACCCTCAAACTCATTGCGCTGAATAATCTCGATAAAGACAGTGGGACGATCCATCAGCGGCTTCGTGAACAGCTGCAGCAAGTAGCCGCCCTCGTCGTAATCAATGAGGATGTTGAGGCGCTGAATGGTGTCCAGGTCCTCCTTGAGCTCCCAGTTGCGCTTCTCCGTCTTGAGGCGCTGGCGCATGGTGTCGTAGTAGGTGGAGGGGACGTTGATGAACTCGACGCCGCGGGCCCTGAGGGCGGTGACGGCGTCGATGATGTTGGGCGTCAGCAGGGCAATGTGCTGGACGCCAGGGCCCGAGTTGAAGATGACGTACTCCTCGATCTGGGACTTCTTCTTGCCGGCGGCGGGCTCGTTGATGGGCATCTTGACGAGGTTGTTGGGCGAGGCCATGACAATGGACGACAGGGCCGAGAACTCGGTGCAGATTTGCTTGTCGTCGACGGACCAGAAGCGGTGGAAGGACAGGCACTGCTCGTAAAAGGCGCAGGCCGACACCATCTCGTCCCAGTCCTGGTTGCCGACGCAGTGGTCGACGCGGGCGAGCCGCACGTCGGGCAGGGCCACGCTGGCCGTCGACTTCTTGCCCTCCCGAAAGCCCGGGAGGAAGGGGCCCGAGTAGGAGCCGCGGCTGACGAGCGTGTGCGTCGTGTCGCCGTAGGTGCGGATGACGGCCGTCGTGACGGAGCCGTGCTCGGCGTCGTGGAGGCGCTGGGGGCCCTGGACCGCGACGGCGCCCTCCTTGACGGCCTTGTGGTACACGCCCTCGACATTGTCCACCTCAAAGGCCACATCCTTGACGGCGTCGCCGTGCCGCTCCAGGTGCGCGTACATGTCCAAGAGGAGCGTCTTGTCCTCGGGGCTGATGGGCTCGTCGGGTCCAAGGTGCGCCACCGACCGCAGCGGCGACGTGAAGACGAAACGCACGTCGTTGTTGGCCACCACGTACGACGCAAAGTAGCGGCTGCCCGTCTCCAGGCCGCGGTAGGCAATGTGCTTGAAGCCAAAGAGGTTGACGTAGTAGGCCGCCGCCTGCTTGGCGTTGCCAACCCACCACGTTACGTGGTCGTAGCCTGTGAAGTTGCCGGCGTGAGGCTGGGCGACCCCCGAGTCGACGGGTCGCTGCTGAGGTGAGACTGCTGAAGGAGCCATCTTCTATCTGGTTCCTTTTGTGTGTTTGTATGCGTTGATGTTGATGATGGGTATTGTTGTTGCTGTTGTTGCAGGTTGTGTATGTGATATGGGTGTCAACCAAAGGACAAAATGGAAACTGTCCCGCGTGACTTTCCTCTTCCCAGCGTCACAGAAGAAGAACCCGGGGTATCTACACTGTTTCTGAGAGAGAAACAGTCAAAAACGAAAAGACAACAATCGTGGGTAGTTACGGAGACAAGGCTGCGACAAGGGGTGCGTGTGTGTAATGGAATGATCTGTATGACATACCAAGACCAAAAAAACAAAAAAATTAACGAAAAATAAAGACAAAAAAAAGAGGCCGAGGGGTGTGTGGGAAGGGCAACCCCTTTAATATGGAATCCCGTCACATTCCATCACTGTCACTGCTAGACAGACGTCGGTACGGTGTTATTAATTCAAAACCCGAAGTGGCCGTAACCTTTTCTTCTTGGCTGCGGTTCATAGTGCGTAAGACGTATCCTCTCGCGCAAGATTGGTCTTGCCCTCCCCCCCCCCCCCCGCAACCGCCC